CTATGGTGATCCTTCTGACCATTGTACATTAGTACTTTCTTTGTAACTTACCATTACTCAAATTGTACCACTTTTTATCTCTCACTAAAATCTCAGCTTATTCCTCTTCTCTTCATACCGAATAACTTTTGTTTAAATGAATGAAAAGAAATATGGATGCATACACACAATACAAATTCTGTATTTCGTGAAAAGCGTGTTCCCTTCTTGCCGTGTCGAGTTACGCTGTCAGTGAATTAACGAGCGGTGATCTACCTTTCAGACTACGACGGGATAGAAAGTATCTAGGAACATATTAAGGAAGATCCCAGGAAGGAGATCGATTTGGATTTATTGTGGTGGTAATAACTAACTGTACCAAGGAACTCTGAGTTGTATAATCTCGTCTATTTTTACTCACTTGATTTCACCACTGAACTAGTATTTGCTCACGTTATCCACTACATCCTTGGTGAGCCCGAATTTTATTTCTTTTAGATCGCCTAGAACTCCCGTATTCATTTTTCTCATTACTATCATGTCTGATTCAAACGATTCACTTATGGACTCGTAAGGTATTTTGAGTTTAAGACTACCAGCTTATGGTATTCATCATCCTGTGATTTGTATCATCTCGTCTATTTTTACTCAGTTGATTTAACTACTTTGAACTGGTATTTGCTAGCGTTATCTACTGCAACCTGGTTGTGGAAATGCGATTGTGGGTTTGTTGCAAAGCATTGAGACAGTTTAAATGATCGGAGGGTCGCAGACAGTGCACGGCACTGAAGCATCGGTGTTGAACGCTGATGTCATGCTGTCGATGGTGATGATGACACCGCACGGCATTGAGGAATCGCCTGATGTTGACGGTTGTTGGTCTGGTGTAGCGGGACGAGTAAAAAGTACAATCTTGGTTGCCTAGGGGATACGAGTTTTGAAAATGTACCACCCCTCACATAACGAACTGCGCTGGTTGGTCATTCATGTCATGTGCCCAGTGGTCCCTTACCGGATAGAATAAAATTTTTGGCGCAAAGGCTAAAAACGATACAGCAACGAAGATTATGCGCATCGTAAGTATGAGGCGCCTACAAGAATGCGGCTTACTTAACCCTTTCTACTCTCGGCTGAAAAGGTTGGGACTGATGACTGTCGTTAGATCTAGCTGTCAGGTCGCATTCTAATTGTTGACTTGGGCTTGTTTAGGCTGCAGGATGCTGATCGAATGTCCGCCTTTTCAGTGTTTTTTTCATGTATTCCGTGGTTTCATTTAGTTTTCCGTTCGCCGGAATTAACGAGACGGCCAAGTTACGCCAAACCTCTTGGTTCGACCGTTTCATTTCATCACTCAAGAGATATCGCAATCTGCCCAGCCTCACCAGTCAGGCCTCCTATCTTTCCCCGAAGGAGCTTGTCGGAGTTGGATGTAACAGTGCTGTTTGGGCTGCTGAGGTTGTCGAGGAAGACGGATCATCATCAAACATGGAAAGTGAGGGTAAGCTAAATAACCAACAAGCAGTAATGGTTTGGATGATAGATTGCTCGTGAAGACAGCACACTTTCCAGGATGATCTTAGCCGCCCTCCATCCGTTTCGCCCTCTCTGGTTACAGTATTATTAACACGGGTATTCTCCAATCGGGCTAACCTTGCACTATCTCAACCCGTATTCTTGGAGTTGCACAACAGTTATGCATCAGGAATTTTCTTGTTGTCGGTGCTACTCGCCTTCCAGGATGGGGACCGTATGATCCTCACTGTGCCTGGTTGGAGACGCTGGAAGATATGGCTTCTAACCGATTTCGGTGGCGATCTTGTTGGCAGTTTCTATCTAGATTGCCTGAGTGAATGTCTGGAGGTGTAGGCACCTCAGAATTATTGTGGTAAGCCAGCACCAAGTCCCCTCCCCACTCGTCTTTATTCTTTTCTTCACAATAAGGCTTTCAATTAAATCTCGTGGTTTGTACGGCACGAAGCATCGGTGTTGAATGCTGATGTCATGCTGTCGTAACTGATGATGATGAAGATTTTAATGAAAGAACAAAGAAAGAAGTTTGATTGAACGGGAGGTATAAGTGTCAATGAGTCATGGAATCAAGTGATTGACGTCAATGTCAGATGATTCTGTGGGAGCAGACTTTTCGCAGACCAGCTCAAATTCAGAGGTCGCATAAGCTCCTTCTGGACGCAAAGCCGTGGATCATGTAGTCGGATTCCAATGGACTCTGCGACTGATTTTCATCTGGACCGTACCTGCCACGATCAGTTCAGGGGTACCCGGTATGTGACATCGAAGGCGTCCCCTTTCTCGATGGCACGACTGGTCGACGCGTTCATAGAAGAACCAGTCTGTTTTCTGTAGACTAGGTTNATATATATATAATGGGTATCACTTACACATTTGCTTTTCTCTGTAATATAGGTGTGAACAATGAAGTGGCGGTCAAGGTGCTGTACAACTTTTATGCCAGTACGGATCCGGATTCTCCTTTGGCGATGGAACAGCCGACAATTCAATCCCAGGCGGCGGATAAGATGGAGGGTTCGGTTGATTGGTTCATGCTTCATCGGCAGTTGGAACGCGAGTGCGAAATGCGTCCTTCCTCGGGGCATCCGAATATCGTTCCGTTGGTCGGCTACTTTTGCGATCGCGCACCCGCACCACCCAGCAATGGTGAGCGAAACTCGAATTCGGAACCGAAAAACAGTTCGATCTCAGTCGTTTCCAATTCCGACAGTACTGTTGAATCCGACGCAGATCCTGTTATCAAGGATTCCGGTGGCTGGGTTGGTGCAGAGGCATTTCCAGAAGGCTTTGGTGGTCGACCGTTCACGTATTATCTGCTAATGCCGAGGTACTTTCTCATCCTGTAACTCACTGTTCTCAGTTCAAGCTCGCTTCTTTTAGCCATCACCATGGGCATAAGCATTGATTTACACACCGGTGTCTCCGTGCTTTTTCTAATCTCATCGTCCAAGGGGTTCACTGCGATTAGAAATACTCCGTACGATCGAAACTGTCCCATCCGGGGCGAGATGGGCCAAGTGGTTAGAGCGCAAATTTGCCAACCGGAAGGTCCGTGGTTCGAACCCGACCTCTGCCACTCGACTTTCCTTGTCTAGGCTTGGGCGACCTGGCAATATCCGAGGCCTCGTGTGGCATGGCAGCTAGGTACCAAAAGAGTGCTACAGCTGAACAGTTTTTTCCCATTAGAGCTCTCTTTTCATGGGTAGTATATTATGATACTAATGGTTTCGTAAGTCAACCAGATAATGGTACCTGCTGAAGAGTCATCATCCACTTGGATGTGTCCATCAGTACTTCACTGAGTTCATATTGAAGCTCAATTCCACATGTCACGTGTTTTTCGCAAATGAATGCAAACATTTTATTGGGAATAAACATTTTATTGTTCATGGATAGTAGCAGTGAACTTTAATTGCCAGTTCGTTCGGTCGTTCAGCTGCGGCACTCTTTCGGTGCCTGACGGACATGCCACGCGAAAGAAGCCTGAGGGCTGCGGTACTGCCAGGTTGTCCAAGCCTAGGCAGGGGAAATCGAGAAGCAGAGGTCGGGTTCGAACCACGGACCTTTCGGTCAGTAAATTCGTGCCCTTACCACTGAGCCATCTCGCCCCCGAACCAGACACACTACAGTCACACTCGTCAGAAAAGAGGCCTCGAATTTCTGCTATTAAACCCTCGTCTGTGCCTTCTGCTTCCTTTCAAACTTTGGTTTGATCAAAGTGAATGCATACCGTTTCGTGCGACATTTGTTGGAGCACACAGTTGAAAGACCAACTTGTACTTTTCTTGTTTTCGGGTTGGAATCATCGTTACACCAATGAGTACGGCTTAGCATGTTGCGCAAACTTTTTCATATAGCGGTATGGCAGTCAAACACCCATCTAGTTGCCAACTGGACTACCAGTTTGCAGTAGCACAGCACCGGTTGTCACATCGGTGAGTTTGAAATGAAGATCCCCTAAATCAGGAAAGTAGCATTTTATGCGTTTTTGTTGAATGTCTCATGGGAAACGAGACATAGTGTACTTATGGACATTTGTAGCAGTAAGTCGGGGGAGGCACTAAGTCAGATCGTTTTCTCTGCTGAAAATGCAACCTGTAACTAAAGGAGACTCTTTGATAGTACTTGTGGGCTTCGTTGAACTTTATCGGTGTATTGGGGCTGGATGCCCCAAGTGGTCGGATCGCGAATTTGCTGATCGGAAGGTCCGTGGTTCGAACCTGACCTCTGCCTCTCGACTTCTTCTGTCTAGGCTTGGGCAACTTCACAGTATCTCAACCCTCGTGCAACCTTCGGGTGTCACAGCAGCTGGGCACCGAAAGAGTGTTACAACTGAATGTTTTTTTATCGGTGTACAACCCTGGATTCGGTCATATCAAGATTTCGCTTGTTTGGGAGAATAGAGTTTTTTCCTTCAGTATCACAGTCGTGCGAACCGAATACTGATACGGTTTGTATTACTGTTCAGCTTTTATTCGAAGGGAAACCTTCGGTCTTCGTAGCAACACTTTTACCCAAAAAACTAGAAAGTATGGCAATGATGTCACAGCATTCTTTCGGGATTCGCAAGTGTCTCTGCGGTCCGCATTCTTTTCTGGTGGAAGCTAACTGTACCCATTCTTATATTCCCGCCAGTGAGCTGGTGGTTATTAGCCGATCACAAACCATTGTCGCGGGATAAAAGTTGTAATGCGGTAAACTATTGTCCTGAGGTGATCCACTGCGTGTCGAACCTTTGTCGTCCCAGTGCAAATGGAGCTATTCTCTGCTGTTCAGTGTTCGTCACGTTTTCACCCATCCACGATAGGTGTTGTTGTCAATGTTCGTTAGGCGGCAACTCTCTTTATGGCGTTAAAATCAGGTTAAAATTAGACCCTCTTCCTTCGGGCCACTTACTATCAACTATCCTCGGAAGCCTAGTCCTCCCGCCCCTTGGTCTTCCCCCAGTTGCCAATAAGGATGCGTAGTGCGGTAATTTTGTGTTCAGCTTATCACCAATAGGCGTATCTTGTTCAAGTTTTGGATTGCAAACTGCATTCGCCTGTTTTGAACGAATTCGGTAGCAACCTATCTGTTGAGGTCCCCGATACGAAGCTTCGAGTGAGGCGTAGGTTCGACAATCCCGAATGGGGTTCGAAATTTTACGGTACTATTTACACAAGGGTAAGCATTTGTTTTAAAACAAACCTCAGTTGTTCACATTCGCAGCGTCAACAATTGCACAGGCTTGTCACTGACCGGCACAGTGCAGTGTCAACGTCGAGCAGAGTGATGGCTCAGTAGTGTGTGTGGTTTGTGGTCATCCCTTCCGACGATAGTCTCGTGATTCTCATTGGCCGTGCGATCACACAAGACTCATGAGAAAACAAGTCAAGGCCAGCTAACGGGACACTAACGCGCATGGTCACCTGCGCACATTCACACACAGACAATGCCAATACACAAATGTCGGACAGGACGGCCGCCACGGCAACGTGAGTGGCGGGCACGGATAAGCAAAACAGCTGGAGATTAAAAAAACAGGACGGAATAAGCAGGTAAATGGGGGAATTATCATAAGGTCAAGTTAGATTCAACAGCATCATTCGTTTCAGTTATTTTCTGCAAACATCTGAGAAACTACCTAAGAAGTGCTGTTTGGACCGGTTCATCGTTTCACGCTCTCGTCGGTATTTTACTTCTCTATTTTACAGGTTTGAGGCTACACTGGATGATTTATTTCGTGGAGTTTGGCTTCCTCCAGGATTACCCACTCCGAAGAATGGATTCGAACGGCCAGAGTCATCAACTCCATCCGGTGCAAATTCCAGCAACAGTTGCGCTTCTTTCGTTACCCAAACGGAGAATTCGTTTGTTAGTTCATCGGTGAACTCATCTACAGCTTTTCGTTTTTCGCCCACTACAAGCGATCAAACCGGCCCTATTCGGAATCATCAGCATCAGCCGTTGGGATTTGACGAAGCTGTTGGGATCCTCGCACAACTGTTTGACGCAGTTGCTGAACTGGAAGCACATGGAATTGCGCATCGCGATATCAAACCGAACAATATTCTCTTACGCCGTCGTCTACCCTCCAGTTCAACTCGCCGAACCTCTGATTCCCTGAAAAAGGCGAGGACCACCGCCGCTTCTGCTGCAAGGATTCAGTGGCTCGATGGTAAGTCTTTCGCCAATGTAAGGTATATTTTACTTCCGTCGAGTTTCGAGCATGAGCCACACTCCCAAACGAACTTCCGAGGAGACTTTTATAACTTCAGTTACTTTCCGTTCCGGTTATAGTTTTACAACGAAACACCACCAGTTCGACCCCTCTCCTCCCCTGGTTGAAGCTGCCCCTGTACGGTTTTTTGAGCACTACTCCAAACCCCAACACAGACAGGTTCGAATGCCCCTCCAGTACGAGTTTACCCCCCATGAGGAACTCGTAAGCCGCACACATTGGGTTCTTTATCTCCTAATCAAGCCAGAATGGTAGTCAAATTAAATTAAAACCCATTATAATTTGAGTTGGTGTTATTGTGATGTTCAGGTGAATCCTTTCCTTACGCTGTCGTTCTTTGTGTTCCAGTCTAATCTGTTATTCAGTACCTCCAAACAAAGTCCCCCTGTTCAGCTCATGCTAAGGTTGTCTTTCGCGAGGGGCAGAATTCTACCTAGCCTCTAACGCTGGCTCGTAATCATGTTCCGCCTAACTAGTAACATCTTATCACCTAAGCGTTCCGCTGAAATTCAGTTTATCCGAAGATATCGCGATGAATATAATCGACCTGACTCGGATGTTTTCAACATGTGTGCCGCCTCAGAATTTACTGCGTCATTTGTTGCTAATCTCATCACAGGCTGTACATCAGACTCTTCTTCGGAAGCTGTGCAACGTTCAGGAGAGGATGTCCAGTAAAGAATGCTAAGGAAAGGAATGGATGGAGACTCAGGTTACAATGCTTTTTGGTAATAGAGTGGATGACCAAGTGCGAGGTGCCTATACGTTCGATAAACGCTGGCTGCTTTTACTGTCCGCACTCCGAAGCAAGCAGGTCAACTAGCTCCTCTTGCTTTCACGCCGGACTTGCTTGGCTTTGATGTGTGCTGGGTATCGGAAACGAGAATTCAAGATCCAAGCACAGTCACTGAGTGGACTGCGTCATCACTCTCCACTTTCTTGCGACTGTGAAATTCCAGAGCCTGCAAGGGTTGGCATCATCTCAGGTAACCGGGTGACAAGATTCTTGCTTGTTCGGATACTGGTTGGTAGTCGCCATGCCACCCGAAGGAAGCACGAACGCTGGCTGCTTTTACTGTCCGCACTCCGAAGCAAGCAGGTCAACTAGCTCCTCTTGCTTTCACGCCGGACTTGCTTGGCATTGATGTGTGCTGGGTATCGGAAACGAGAATTCAAGATCCAAGCACAGTCACTGAGTGGACTGCTTCATCACTCTGCACTATTGGACAACTTGGGGCTTGTCAGATAGACACACGCCCCGAGTTTCAATCAACACTATGTTTTACTTGAACCCAATACACTCATTTTCACACTGGTTTCAATGGAGGAAGCAAATCAGCAACAATGTACCGTGGGTTAATGCCGATTGACGGAAGGTCATTCCTGAAACCATCGGTTGGCGGTTTTTTTGACAAATAATCATCAAATGTTCTCGCTAGGAGGGCTTGGTGTTTGTTTTGGTTCCCCATGAGGCGGGATGGCTGAGTGATAAGAGCGCGAATTTACTGACCAAAAGGTCCGTAGTTCGAACCCGACCCCTACCTCTTGACTTCCCCTGTCTGGGCTTGAGCAATTCGCACTATCCCAGCCATCGTGCTTTTGGGTGGCACGGCAGCTAGGCACGGAAAGGGAAACAAAGATGTCACCTTGGTAGCCTTAGTATTTACTTCCATTTTCATTCATTAATGAGACCTTTGTAACGGCGTTTTTTTACCGAAATAGATTCTCATGAAGGACCACACGCAACTCAGGTCAATTTAGTTGTCCAGTGGATGGTCACTACGGTTTTCGATGGTGAATTTTTGACTTTTTGCCTTCCATGTTGGGGTCCCCGTGACCACGCCTGTGCTTGACTGGAGACACTGAAAGAAATGGCGACCGACCAATGTCAGTGGCGTTCGTGTTGTCAGCTTTCAGATTATGCGCTTGGGGGCGTAGAATGCTTGACATGGGCCAGCTTTAGGTCCCCTGTCTCACACACACTTTCTCTTCTTTTCAATCTAAGGCTTTAAAGATATTTATGGTTGTACGGCAGCGAAACATCAGTATCAACATTGATGATGATAACATCAAGGATGCTTTTATAAGTGACATTATACCATCCTCACGTCAACGTAACTAGAAATTCCTGACCCCTATACACTGTATTGATTCTATTGGCCTACCCACATCAATGTTTCCCCGCTATTTTTGATGACGTATTTGAAGTTCCTGTCAGTTTCTACGAGCTTTCTTGTATCCTGCGAAATACAATCTTTCACGTGACCTCATCATGCGACACAGTATATGAATTCTGCTTCAAATCTAGATTGGAATTCGGGGGCGGTGCCTACCACGCAATGTTTTGTCGGCTGTGTTTCATTAGTCTTCTTCCGGCGCTTATCTTTAGTTTTGTTTCCAGCACTTGCATCTAGCTTTGTTTGTAGTTGGAGATCTTGCTTCTTGATGATATCCTTGGGTTTGACTGCAGGGATGATACCTGTGTAACGGTAATACTACTGATTAGGGAGGCACTGTTCTCCGCCATTTTTGATAACGTATTCGAAGTTCCTGTCAGTTTCCATGAGCTTTCTCGTATCCTGTGAAATAGTCTTTCACGTGACCTCATCATGCGACACAGTATATGAATTCTACTTCAAATCTAGATTGGAATTCGGGAGCGGTGCCTACCACGCAATGTTTTGTCGGCTGTGTTTCATTAGTCTTCTTCCGGCGCTTATCTTTAGTTTTGTTTGTAGTTAGAGATCTTGCTTCTTGATGACATCCTTGGGTTTGACTCAGCGAAGGCCTTCCTTTCACCTGTATTATACCTGTCATCCCATTCAGTGACACGTTGTGCACCCGGTCAAATTCTTGTCGATTTACTGTGCATTCTAGATGAGGAAATCTTAGCCTCAAACACCCGGTTCCACGTTGCCATTACTGATTTTGGATGTGCCATCCGGTTCCCGCGCCAACCGAGTCCGACCGCTGCATCTGACAAGTTCAGCTTCAGTCTTCAACGTTTTTTCGACCAAGTGTTCTCACTGCGAACACTGGACGCGAATCCGGCTCTCCTTGCGCACAGTGGGAACTTTGCATTTCTTGCACCGGAAATAGCTGTGTGCTTGTCGGACAGTAATACGGGCAAAGATCAACTCTTGTCGTCTATTTATGCCAAAGCCGATCTTTGGGCCGTTGCCACCTTGGCCTATCCGTTATTCGGGATGACGAACCCGTTCACAGATGGGGTATGCGAACTCCTTGTTTTTTTTTACCCCCTTTAATCGGATTTCTTTTGCTTCCCCAGTTGTGGAGGATAGGTCAGTTGTCATCGAAAAACCGAGAAAGGTTTTGCACGTGTTTCGTGTGTGTTAAAAATAGCTTGCAGTGCACAATCTTGTGTCTTTGAGTGCTACTCTTGTGAAATGTCGTACCGATTCGTGGTTCAACCATGAGCTAGAATTGAGTTTGAACGATAGACTCTCCCCTCTGTGGTTGGGCACTGTGGTTGCGCCATTCCCACATTCTCCACCTTCATCAAGTGACTTCGAAACATGAGTTTGTATCGCTCAGGTGAATGAAGAGAATCGGAGATTTGACGATAACGAAAGCTGATCTGTGGTAGTTCGCTTCGTTCGTGCCCTGCTCAACGTACGATGTACTTCAGTGCATCCATTTACACCCTTTGGGAGCGGTGAGGTTTGTGTCCAACTAACTGACCAGAAGTTTCATACATTCTGCCTGTGGTTAGCCAAGTTGACGGTTCTTCGACCCATAACTTGGTCGTAAACGCATAGACTAATTTTCAAACCAACGTAACTGTGAGGTTGGTTGCTCTTGTCTTGTTATACATAGTAGTCAAGTTAGGCTAACAACAACGAAGGTACCAAATGTGTTTCGTCATGAACCATCTGTCCCATCAACTTTTCCACTTGAAGGCAGTTTCTTTGGCCATACATTATGCATATGACCGACTGTTAGCACCTTGTGTTGGGAAATACACCTCACTGTTAGAATCTCGATCCTTCATGCGCTTATTGTTAGTCCAGTTGGGTGTCCGCGTTCAACTACTCACACTTTCGAATACACCACGGCGAGCTTTGAGCTTGTGACGGCTTAGTGATCAAGGCACCAGCTTACGGACTGGAAGGTCCGTGGTTCGAACTCAATCTCAGCATGTAGACGTCTGCTGTCTAGGCTTAGACAACCTGGCAGTTTCCCCCGTGCCTCCTTCCCTTGACATGGTACCTAGGCACCGAAAGGATGCTACAGCTGAATGATTTCACTCATACGTTAACTCTTGCCTTAGTAAAATGCTTGCTGCCGATACTGAGTTACGTGTGTCAGAGTACCTGTGAATTTTTTTAGTGGGGCAGCGAAATTCTCACTTTATTCTATAGAGTGAGGTGGTTGCAGCGCGAGTTTACCTACCGGAAGGTCCGTGGTTCGAACCCGACTTCTGCCTCTCGACTTCCCCTGTCTGGGTAGGCTTGGGCAACCTGGCAGTATCCCAGCCCTTATGCTTCCTTCTGGTGGCATGGCAGTCAGGCACCGAAAGTGGGCTACAGCTGGACGATCTGTGGAATAGAATGTGTATCTCTTGGGCAATATCGTGCTTCGTCCTGTGAGATCATACGATGTTTTTCATTCCGGTTATGTGTAATACTGCTGCCTATTGTTTTTTTCAGACTCTGGACTCAGCTACCTATAATGAAGGAGATCTCCCTCCATTCGACCCTCAAGTTCCCGGTGTAATTACTTGGGTAGTTTCCCAATGTCTCAATCGGGCACCATGCTCGCGACCACCAGCTGACTTTGTGGCTGACGTGCTACACACTTGGTGCCTCCTGAGGCACACTCATCGTCGTGCTCTTTTTCGCAAGCTTCCGTCCAACGCCACCATCCCTCACTCCGGCGTTCCCTTTTCTGCGGGCAGTCATGCTACTCCCGCTTTGAGAAGCTTGATCCAGAATATACAATGTGTGAGTACCCGCTTATGGTGTCTTTTTACCATGGTTTACCTTTTAATACCAGCTGTCTTCATAAATTGTCCCATGGCAAGGCGCACTTGCCATACATTTCAGTTTGAACGTACGCCTTCCTGTCAAGCCATAAAGACATTGGACTTATACCACATCAGGTTTACATAATCTGATTCAGTACTGACAATATTTTGCTCTTTGATTGTGTTCACTCTGATGCTACCCTTCCATGTGCCGAGGCGTTCGATGTTAGTATTGCGTCACTTACATTGGTTTATAGGACCATACGCACATTCGGATGCGTTTCCTTAGAATTGTTTGTTATTCTTCACCCCACACACCGTGTTTAGTGTAATGCCTGTCCTCTAGACTTGATTTCCTGGGAGATCTTCTTTGTACCCTGGAACGATTACCGCATAGTTACATCCTCGAATCCATAGTCTTTCTTATGCATCGGTGTTCTGCCTGGCCTTAAGTCTTAGGATACAACTCCATGCCAACTGGTGAGATGCCTGTTCCACTTGATAAGTGTCCACAATTTCACCACACTGGTTCCGAATCCCGAATACAAGTTACCAAAAGGAGGCTAATGCATCGTGTCCTTTTACTCTGGATTTCTTTTCGCCCCGTCCACGGCATATGGTTTCTCTAAAGCTGGTCTGCCACCTTTGAATATATCGCCCCATTATCATACTCTTAACCGATGGTTCATTAAGGTCCTTCAGAATAATATTTCCTAGAATTACCTACAATATTTTGAGTAGTTCAAGGTGCGCATCGCAATTGTGTTGGTTTTATGAGATTTAACCTTCCTACGACCCGATTAGGAGTCGTTTGTTCTCTAAACCGGGGATATCAACGGTTGTCCAAGGACCAGACTATCTATACTAACGCGCTTTGTTTTACGCTTCCATCCCGCCCCCCTGTAAGACTGATTCTACTGGACAGGAAATTTTGAACGCGCTGTTGAATTCAACTGGTGAACTAACGGATGCAGTCGTTTCCCGCTTACGGCTCTTTCTTGACGTGTGTTGGGCAGCCGACTGGCTCACTGGGCCCGCGCGGCCTCCAAATGGTCTTAGGGTATCATTCTATCGCCGAGTCACTCTTGGACGGTTGGCAGCCTGTCTCCGGACCGTACATTCATCCGAACCCAACTGTTCCGTAGCGGCGTTTAGTGACGTTCCTGTGAAGGCGAACGAATCTCCAATTGGTGGCAATGACCGGGAGTTAATCCCCTCTCATTGAGGTTTATAACATGTATTGTTTCTATATTTCGTTCATCTCATTTTGACCTGTCTTTCTTTATCCCAGATTATTCGGTTGACTACCGCCTTACTTTCGATATTTCTGCCTTTTACGTAGTTGTAAAACGTATACATATTTTTTTAAAAATAATTATTTGATGCCCCACTGATTTCATCCGCAGACACTCTGTACAGTGACCCTTCGTTGTATTTTCACAACACCCTCGGTTATCGTCAGCCAGAGACTTGTGCAGATGCCTTTTCTATCATACCTCACTGCTCCGTCAATCCTTCGATACGCATCACTTGTTCCCCAAGTACTATGCATGAAGTCACACGGGCTAGATTATCTTGTGTGCGTAATCAGGACAACATGCCGTGGCTTTGGTCATCGGCGTTGATGGAGACGATCTTGCCACCTTTCTGATTCCGATATGGAAATAAACATAGATTACGAGAGTTTTGAATAATTGTGGCGCCTGGTTGACTTCTGATTGCGAGTGCTGGTGGGTCCCTAAAATACAACCCACTACCCGTTTTGTCCTGTTCAGAACTCATAAGAGAAATGTGGAGTGCTTCGGTTGTTTACTGTTCAAAATCTTAATCCTAGTTCGGGGGCTTACTTGTGCGCACAATGTGTATGAATTCAAATTGATTTTGCTTGTTTTACCACGTGCGTCGGAATTTGTTACGAATGTGATTAGTAGTGGTCGGTCAGAATCCTCTACATTTGATACAGTGCCAAACTGAGTGAAATGCACTTGAATTGCTAGTGTTCGGGTTAGGCAACTCAACGAGATCGGGTTCGAACCCAACATCTGCTTCTCGATTTTCCCTGTCTAGGTTTGGGCAACCTGGCAGTATCCAAGCCCTCGCGCTTCCTTCTGGTGTCATAACGGCTAGGCACCGATAGGTTAATGCCTCAGCTCTTTTCCCAGTCTGTTCCACCCAAGCTGGCGTTTTCCTCCAAGTGTACGCAAGATACATCAAACGCCAGAGAACCAGTTGAAAAATCATGTAGTGTGTCTTGTTTAAAGTGTATGCAAAGCGAACAGTGGAAACTCGGACGCTCTATTGAGGTAATGTTGGCAACCAACGTCCGGCGGATACTGGAACATGATCAGCTGTTGGCTGCACATATTCGACCAATCAGAGCTCGACTTGATTCTGGGGCGCCTAGAGGTCTGGTCTGGTCAATCACGTCCGAGTTTAACTTACTGGCTATTGCAGCTCCTAATTGCGAACAGTAAGGTGGTACTGGTGTAGGATTCCACCCAGCACCCACCATCAATATCGTTCATTTGTATGGCAATACTATTGTTTAATAATCGGAAATACGTGGGTGGATGACTGTCAAATACGCTTGAGGAATACACGAGCTGGGCCGCTTTTTGGAGTATCCAAATCTATCTCAGATGCATAATGGATGGACTTGCTACCTAACGTCTCCAAATCAATCGTCCAACTGACCACTTGTGAGCTCTCAGCTTCAGGCCAATTCAGTACTATGTAGCCTTTTGGTCAGTGGTTCTCAATTTATTTCAAACCGTGTATCCATTTTAGTATACCGTTGCAGTTCATTTCGAGTTTCGTTGACCCGTAAGTGGTATATGAGCCACCATCGCTCTGCTGTGTTTCGCAAACGTCATTCGGCTATTCGAAGGGCGACGCCAGTCAACGGGGATCGTTTTTTCTCAGCCAGATTTAGGGGACTACTTGGTGTGACACAAGGCATGTCATGTTCGCTTCCAGTCTGCCTTGTGGCCTCACTTGGTGCCCTAGCCGACTGTGTGAACCCGACTTGCACAGGTACACCAACATGACTGAAAGCGATGCACGGGCGGCTATCTTCGGCGGAAGCGCAGTTCGAGGTCTGGGCCCCCCATATCATCCAGAGGAGCAGTGACGCAGAAACTTATCAAATACGATGAGAAGGAGCTGTTAGTTACTACCAGTCGGTCAATCGTAAACAGTTCACAACTGACAGATCTGGAACTTTGTTCTCATATTCATCCCGAAGTGTGTGGATTCTGGAAAAAGGTTTAGAGGAGTAGGTCAGCAAAGCGCTTTCGGTACAGCACTGTTGAAAATGGGGAACCTCCTGGGTATTAGGAGTCTGTGAAAGGCTTGGGTTCGCGTACGTATGAATGATGTTCTTGGGGCAATGCCGTTGTATTTGCAGTACTTAGGATTACTGCGTTTGTGTTCGCGACCAGCAAGTACCTCCGTCCAGCTGAAAGGTTGAAGGCCTTGGTGATTATCTCGGGGATTGCGAATTTAGTAAAACCTGCAACTGATGAGATTCAGAATGCTTGGAAGACAGCTGGCACACCAGTTACCGAAAGTGTAACCAGATAATTCAGTGAACAACAATAAGCAAAGGTAACTAACATAGTGGAAAAAACAGGCATGGAGTTCACGAGGAATACAGGGTACCCGGGTGAATTTTATGGTTGATAATTAGATTGAAAAGCCGCTCACGTTAATTTGTTCCTTTGTGACATACATGGTGAGCTCCGTTCGCAGTACGCTTATTTTTTACACAGAAACTGAGTGGAACGTGATGGTCATGAAGTTCGTTTTATCCGAACAGAATTCGCATTATCATCTAAATGATTTATGGTTGAAACAACGTCTGTACGATATCGAGATTGGGATGATCAGTCCAAAACAAGTCGCTCTTTCCGGAAGGCAAATTAAGAATTTCCACGGTATCCTCTATGAGGCTAACGGTGCCCAACTAGGAGATCGACCTCGTTTTCTTATAGCAACCACAGACTGTATAGGATCTCCTGCTCAAATGTGACTCAAAGTTCAGTTGTTTCACTGATAGGTCGATTCAGACAGGCATTTAACTCCAGGGCCAGAACGGCAGTTTCGACTGGGTTGTTTGTGCAGATTGGCTATCAATCCGCGCCGAATAGTTCGATCTCGGTTGCATATAACACATGAACTACACTTAGTTCGGCCGAAGCCAGGAACGAGACGTGGATAGAACGTTGAATGAGACCCGTCGCAATGACTTTTCTCCCAGTTCTATGATCCATTTTCCAGGCAATTCTGGAAGCACTATCCGTAGACAAGCTTGCCACTACAGACTAGGGGCTTTAGCCATTTTGACAACCATGGCGCCCTACCCCACCTGCCAATGAAATCATACTACTCACTCACAATTAGTAGCTTGGGTTCGAAGTGGTGAGCAAGTGACCCGCCCTCCCCCGCAGCTCTAGTCAAACAGCACGCGAAATCAGGAACTCCCGTACGCCTATGTATCGAATGACAGTCAGCCGTTCATTTTTTTGGTTCCGCCTTCGTAACCCGTTCACCTCGTTCTTGTCTTCCTTAAAAATTGTCATTTGAGTCGAAATATCGATTTTCTTAATATCGATGTCCATTAGGTTCCAACTAGTGACGAACAACGGAATGCATGATAGGAAATGTCCAGTAAACAAAATTAGATTAAGCTAATCGACTTATGAATTAAGTTGCGGATTGCTTCTGAGGCTTTGTTTTTGCGTCTGTTGTCCGCACATTTCAGGAGACGGGAAAAGCTAGTACCGATGGTAGCCCTTGTGACTGCGGACCTCATTCGCTGCACTCTACTCTTCCATCAGCCTACTAACGTAAGTCTTAGCTACTGTAAAAATGGCGCCTTTCTAAAATTCTCTTGTAACAGGTATTCATGAAGTTGGCTTCACGCGGTTATGTTAGGAGTGACCGGCAATTGCGAGGATCATTCGTCTTTAGAAGGCGGATGATGTCACCCTGATTATACAATACTATAAAATAAAGGATAGTTTTGGCCTCAATTTCAATGGGATGCTAACTTGATCTGACTAGTTCAAAAAACCGCATTGATCGTAAGAGTTCAAATATGGATTAAAACTCAACTTGTCAAAGCCTTGGTAACCTTTATTAATATGACGATATTAGTTTTGAAAGAAATTAAAAATAGCGCATATTCACTTTAGAATACGTGCAGGGTGCCTGGGGATGCGAGACAGACGGAGGGTTCCGTTGCAAACTCCATGGAACGACACAAGAATCGATTTAGTTTGCGCTTTACTAGAGTAAAGGAGCGCTTACAAGACGAGTCCAGTAGAAATCATACCGTTCACGTGACTGACAGGATAACGGTACAAATATGTCAATTTCAAGGATCATCTGCACAGGAATCATTCAAACGTAGATCGCAACCCGAGCAACAGGACGTGCATGACCTCAAGCATGCAGAAGTGAACTCTGTTTAACGCGTGTACACAATGACGCAACGCTAGTACGCTATGCACTGAAGATGTTGTCTCGCAAGTTTTGCAACCGAATGACTCGGCTCAGCGGATAGAAGGGCGGTAACAACTTCCACATCTAAATGCAACGGAATGTGCCAACTGTTCACCATATGACGTTCAATCAGTTATGCTTATTTTGATGGAGGACTTACTCCAGTGGAATCTGAAGCAGATTTATTAACTGTTTCGCGGCTGGGAATGAAAACCGGAGTCCACTATTTACGCACACTGCCCTTCTATTTGTTGAACCGCTGAAATTGTCTCAGGATCATGATCAACAGTGGCTTCTCATGCTACGGATCCACTGCTTTCTTGATGATTTAGTTACACAGAGTAGACGTCATCTTTCACAAAGTGGAGGTATACCTCTGAAAGTCGATAGTTTAACTGACAACAGAATGAACTCATGTTTGAACAAACTTTTCCACGATTGGTCACTTTTAGCGCAAAAATGGTTGAGCAGTCGGTGACCTGTTTCATCGACTTATTTTGGAATGCTTTCTCATTCATCAGAAAGTGGGTTTTTGAACGCTGGATAAAAATGATCAATCAGGAAATTGATTCTTCATTTGGGACGAAGTCTCTTTGAAGTGAGGGCTACTTTTCATAAAAGAAGCTACTCACAAGGTTGGTGAAAACTCTTCGACAGCCCACGACCGGTTGCGCCCTTCTTGGGGCTCATCAGGTAGGCGCAGTCCGCGAGCTTCCGTCAACCTTGATCTACTTAAGCCAAATTGGACTGTTTTCGAGAACTACACTCATTTGCAAATCATGTACCATTGTGTAACTTCACGCACGTCAAGCAGAAAAAGCGAGATTGCGTCTGCCTAATTTTACCGGAATGATCAGTAATTTTCCTCGTATGAACAGACCCCCACATAGGACGAAGATTTATCCATAAACTTTGGACAGCGATTAATGCAACTGGCCGGGAAATGCACGAATATCATTTGTCTTGGGTTGCACGTACCCACAGTGCTGTGAAGATTTATCCGTTTGCTGTCGGATTCACGGGGGTGAAATGGCTCTGTGGTAAGAGCGTGGATTTACTGACCGAAAGGTCCGTGGTTCGAACCCGACCTCTGCCTCACGACTTCCCCTGTCTAGGCTTGGGCAACCTGGCAGTATCCCAGCCCTCATGCTTCTTTCGCGTGGCATGGTAGTTAGGCACCGACAGGGTACTACAGCTGAACGGTTTTTTTATCTGCACTGAAGTCAGTGTTGGTCCTCGTATACCAGACGATTCGTACTTTTAAATCACGGTGCCCGAACATTAGCGGATCGCGTCTGTCATATACTGTGAATGACAAGTAAAAATAAAGACAAAATAAACCGTTCTGATGTAACACCCTTCCGGTGCCTAGCTGCCAAGCTCCCCGCAGGAAGCATGAGGGCTGGGATACTGCCAAGTTGCTCAAGCCTAAACAGCAGAAGTCGGACCTTCCGGTCAGTAAATTCGCGCTCTAACCGCTTGAGCCATCTCGCTCCAAGTAAGACGGTCGCGAACAAGCACTAAGATGCAGATTTGGCTTGTCAGAACTGTAAAGTACGGCGCACGAAATGACGAAACCAACTGCAACTCTGACTTGTTCAAACAGGTCTTATAACGAGAAACTGATCAATTTCACCAACCTATCCTGCGGATTAAATAAAGACGTCCGTCAAAACAGAGCGCTATCTCTTGGAGAGACTTCGCCAAACAGGGGCTATTTCTCTGGAAGGCTCAGTCACGATTCGGTAGTATCGTCCCAGCAAGAGTAAGGCAGAAATACCCCTCCCTCTGTAATGCTCTCTCAAGGGGATCCCTTTTGAAGAGCAGAAGATTGCCTAGTTCAGCTTGAATTGCTGGTCAAAATCTAGGGAGCGTGACCTGCTGACAGTCTGGAAGAACAATGCCCTTTCAGCCGGTGTCTTCAGAGCGATTGACTGGATATTCCCCAACGTTACAGCTCTTACAATTTTTTGTGTATTTTGAAAACGCCAGTGACAGCAGTGAGCATTCATTGGATCCCATTCGACAATACTTCTACCTGACGACCAAGAGCGCAACGAATCCCTCGACAATATGGACCATAAGCCTTTGCACATCAGTCACGAGAGAAGGGCTTCCGGTTCCTCTGAAATACGGCCAAACTTGGTTGATTTCATTGTAAACTCAGGTAGAGTGTCTTATGTGTTTCTGGGTTGTGAACACTGATCACTCACATTGTTTAACTAGAAGGTGAGATGGCTCAAGTGGTTAGAGCGCGAATTTATTGACCAGAAGGTCCGTGGTTCAAACCCGACCTCTGCCTCTCGACTTCCCCTGTCTAGGCTTGGGCGACCTGGCAGTATCCCAGCCCTCGTGCTTCTTTCGGGTAGCAGCTAGGCACCGGAAGCGTGTTAAAGTGTTTGCAAACTACACCTCTTTTTTCGTTTTTTTTGTGTTTCATTTTTTATCGAACCATCACACTTGATCTATTGGTAGCATTGTGTGGTAAGTAAAATCCAATATGAACGGTTGTATTGCTCGATAGGTTGCAGATCAATAAAATCATATAGCCCATATCACAAACTTCTTTTCCTCACGAATGCCTTGCGATTGGTGGACGCATGCTGAATGCCATTTTGGTTGCCCGTAGAGACCAGATACAACGCAAAGCGATAATTCAGCCATGGGAACCGCCCGAAATTGAGGACACATTGGAAAAATTAGCAAATCAATGATTGCCGACTTGAGACCTTACAAACAATCCGCTAACAATTTGACTGTTTTTTTTCCGGAAAAATGATTCCGCTGTACATCCTCGCAGTCAGAACCAGTCAAGTTGAGCAAAATCACATTTCAAGAGTCTTGTCAACGGTTTATTGATCCATTCAGCCATCAGACGCTTCAGGTTTTGGGCGTTGCTTATTTCACGTATTTATTGACTCACAGGGTCAGTGAAGACAACTTATTGATGAATCACCATTGTATGGGCGTCCCTCGATTATGCTGCGAACTGTCTTTGCGTGGAAAAAGATAATGTAGATAAAAACGTTGGTGTATTCACTCACTGGGAAGTTCTGACGAATGGACAAGTGAAAAGTGAAACGGTAACTCTTAAAAATACTATGTGGTAGCCCAATATTTACAACTTATGGATCAGCACATTCCACCAACAAAAAACGATAAGAAAGAAGCCAATAAATGAATAAAATGAAGACAATGTTCCACTAAATACCAGTAGTAATGATATTCCATGCATTGGGAAAGCCGACGAATTTTTACGTCAACAAATACGCTCATTTGCAAATAAATTTGGTTTTCACCAGGGACTCAGCTAAAACTCTCGTTTATGGTGTTCTTTAGCGGAATGTTCTGCATAAAGACCACCTCATGTTTGATTCGGTACGATATTAGAGATATCGCAGTGTAATTTCATACTGATGTAAAAAATCGTTCAGCTGTAACACCCTTCCGGTGCCTAGCTGCCATGCTACTCGAAGGAAACACGAGGGCTGGGATACTGCCAGGTCGTTCAAGTCTAGGCAGGGGAAGTCGAGAGGCAGAGGTCTGGTTCGAAACACAGACCTTCTGGTCAGTAAATTCGCGCTCTAACCACTTGAGCCATGATGATGACAACTCATGGTTGATGACAACTCTTTGACAGCCCACGACCGGTTCTGCCCTTCTCTCTTTCGTGGTCTGCCGAAGAGTTTTCCGCAACTTTGCGAGTAGTTTCCTTTATAAACTATCAGATATATCAGACTTTGTGTAATTCTGAACATCATTGGCGTGCTGTTCTGGTGTCGCGATCTGACAGCCCCAGTCTGCCCCAAAGAACAACAGCCAATCGGGAAAGAGATGTTGGATATTCATCCTCTTTGTAGGACTGTAAGAACTCCGGTATGTTCTCCGGCTACTCCGAGACGACTTCAGCGCTGTCTCTTAAACTCCCTTTCATGGACGCCACATCTTGTAGTTCCAGTTTCAAGGTCATCACATCAAGCTAGTCAAACAGGTTATACTGTTTTAATAACTTCACTCATAGTGATTCTCTACTTTTTTTAGTGTCTGCGGCAATGTGAGTCGTTGGGTCCATGAGGTTAGTAGAAGGTTTCGGAACAGTAATTTCAAAGAGCTAATTCTTTATCTTTCATGGCGACTTTTTTTCCAGTTTTCAACTCCCCCAAGGTGATCACCAGCTCTGTCCAATCCTTGGCTTCCATCCTAACAGTTTTCGAGCTATTTTTACTGGTGTCTGAACACTATTTGAGTAGTCTGATTCTGAATGTAAACACAGAGGTTGTGTTTCGGTCGGAGACATCAAGCCCACATCACGATCGAACTACAAACTATGGCTGACCATATCTGTAACCGTTTTGGCGCCCATAACAGTTATCAGACCCAGGTTGAGCTTTCAAGAAGGCATGCCTGGTAAAGGTTTCCAATTCACCGACTTATCGATGATGTTCCATCAACGTCCAGTTAGTCCGCGACAGTCTGAAAAACATGGATGCAGTCGGTGGAACTTCACGCAGCTCTATCACCCGGCTCAGCAGCTCTCATGGCCCCTTGGAAATAGCACGCTGTAGCCCACTCTTTGAAGTGGGCGGTTCTTGAGTTGACGGGATTCGGCTTGTACCAACTCTGTAGTGCCTTCCTGTTCTGTGTCAGCTACGCCTGGTGGGTATAAATCCATTGAATACCTGTTACTCATCAAAAGTGGTTAGCCTGTTTTGAGCATCCGTTACTTGACATTGCCTACAACTGGGTTGGTTGACTGACAAAACCGAGACACTTATTGGGTAGAAGTTTGAGGCGTTGGACAAACCATTCTCGTCTATCGAAAATGAATTCATCCACCTGTTCAAAGGTGAGGTACCATTCGCTTTCAGTCCGCGATGGTGAAGCAGTGGTTATACACTTACCTTTGGCGTTCGCTGTCCCAGGCTCAAATTCTGACATGGTCGAGGGTGGGAGCCGCCGTCGAGGTCTAACAAGAGGGGAAATCCTTCCCAGCGCTACCACTAGTGTGCATCGACCAGCATGGTTGCAAAAGGATTGGGAGAGGGCTGTCTGGATGACAGCGATGTAATTTCAGACTGTTTTATTCAGGACAAAAGCTGTTAGAGCATCGACTATTGATAAGGGATGAGGCTAATGCCTCAGTGACATACAGAAGGGTAGACAACCAGTGTTTTATGGGTGCGCAGTTTAGTTTCAAGCCACCGTCTTTGGTTTTCCATACCCGTCACTCAAACTCACCGAAAGCCACACGAGCCTTGGCAACACAAGCCCCCAGTTCACTGTAGAGAGCCACATCGACCTGTACAATAGTCGCGATAACCTGTTCAATTTCTCGTCACGGGAACGTGTGGAAAACAGTCGTTAAAGTTACTGTTTGACAGCGTTTCGCTTTTGACACAAAACCTTCGCCACGCCAGATGACTCGTTATCACTTTGGTCAAGTATTAGGGCAGAGGATGACCCAGGCGACGGGCTCTCTTCTTACTTGGATAGATCACTGTTAGATATCGGATAAGGGGCTTTTGTTTGCTGAAGTAAGTCGGCACATGTTAAGGCCAATGGGCTTGGGGGAGGGGACTTTTGGCCCGGTTCTTTCGGTTCATTTTATATAGGTGGCGTCCGTGTTGGTTCGTGCACTACTGCTACCACAGTTGGATAAAAGTAATGGATTATGTGAATTATGGTCGAGTCGTACTTTTCACCAATTAGGTGTATGATTCCAAGTTACTTGACAACCAACCGCACACCGTCAGTTTTGTTTGTTACCGCTCTGCATAGGTTTGCCCTTACAATGTCCTCCATTCTAATCGGACCTCGTTCCGGAGTTTTTGAAACCCCACAAATTCCAGATCTATTTCCAGTGTCTGAAGCATGTCCCGCCATCGTCGAGTCTTCGGCTATCTCCTGACATTCATCCGCACTTGCTGGTGGTTTGGTTATGCTCATCACTTCTGGTGTGTGGTCCCCTGCCGGAGTTTTACCCCCACAAATTCCAGATCTATTTCCAGTGTCTGAAGCATGTCCCGCCATCGTCGAGTCTTCGGCTATCTCCTGACATTCATCCGCACTTGCTGGTGGTTTGGTTATGCTCATCACTTCTGGTGTGTGGTCCCCTGGCTGGTTGTCCTGACTAGCCCGACCATAATATAGACACAACCTCCACTGCTTTCATTCGGGAGGCAATCCTTCATCTGTACCAACTAATCGCATACGGTAAAGCCTGCACGTACAAGGTCTAGTAACTGTGAGAACACGAGGATGCTTTAATAGCCTTCAGATATTTTAAGTAAACTTTGCACGTTTGTTTTTGGGGTTTTCTTGGCGTCAGAGCTGTTTATCCCTGAATCTCAAGGGACGTGTGCATCAAGCTACAGTACGGGCTGTTTTGTGGTATGGATGTGAGACTTGGTCTATTCGAGCAGCGGAACTGAGACGTCTTCAGGTGTTCGACAATCGTTGTCTCAGAACCATAGCTTGTGTGGGTTGATGTCGGCGTATCCGTGACGAGGCAATTAGAAAGCGTGTTTTCGGTTGTGTAACGGGTACTTCCACTGAGGAATGTGTCCAGCACCAGAAGCTGCGTTGGTTGGGACATGTGTTACGTATGCCAAACCATCGTTTGCCGAAGGGAGTGCTGTTTTCCATGCCCAATTCAGAGTGGCGTAAACAGAGAGGTAAGCAACTCTTGACTTGGCCGAGGAGTATGAAGGAGATCACGAAACGCTTGGGTGCTGTCGGTGCTACTCGCCTTCCAGGATGGGGACCGCGTGATCCTCACTGTGCCTGGTTGGAGACACTACAAGATATGGCTGCCAACCGATGTCAGTGGCGTTCTTGTTGTCAGTTTCTATCCAGATTGCCTGAGTGAATGTCTGGAGGTGTAGGCACCTCGGAATGATTGTGGTACGCTAGCACTAAGTCCCTTCCCCGTTATCCTTTACTTTTTTCTTTACAATAAGGCTTTCAAATAAGTCATGGTTGTACGGTAGTGAAGTATCGATGTTGAACACTGATGTCATGCTGTCGATGATGATGATGACGACGATGATGATCATGATGATGATGATGATCTGTTCCACAGTCAGCTTATGGCATTACTCGTATGATGGACACCTCTGGAAAATTCCACTGACGAAATGTAGGGGGCGATTGCTGACTAGGTGTTGATTAGTTTCACTAGCTTCTTAATAGGTTTTTCCATCAGGTGCAAGGCTGACATTTTATATTTTATTTTTCACGTCAAGGATGGCTCTGCTGAATTCACACGTTCTTGATGATTCTTAGTTTAGTCGCAGATCTAGACAGTTCATTTGGAAAGATTCCATTACCAGCCAAGGTGTCGGCACCAGTGTGCCTTTAGAAAGCGGCAGTTAGCGTTGAGTAGCGGTGCGCCTTCCGCTAGCCAGAGTCCTTGACCTGGTCTATCTCTCTCTCCCATCACTGAAATGCGCTCACCAGGATGCAGCGATGAAAACGTTATGAGACCAACCGCAAACCCCTCACCATTACCGCAATATTTCCTGTTACATCCTGCTACAACCCCAGAGTGCATCTGAAATTTGAATTTGAATGGAAATCATGGTTGATCGTCCGGGCTTGCAGTTCATTACATGTTCCTAACTTTCACGCTCAAAAATCAAGCTGAACCATAGACAGTGTATAAACGTGTCAAGAATTTGCACAGAGATTCGAACCTTCGTGTTTGACGACGTTTTGTTGCCATATCAGCAAAATAAGTAGAGGACTTTCTTCATATCCCAAATATTTTTCCATGCTTGGGACTTCCAAACAGTTCGTCAGTGCATATCGAATCACCAGAGTTTATTCAGAACTAGTTTAGCTTATAAAGGAGAACGACAATAAAAAATCTACCTTGATCGCTCTGTCTTTTATGCTCCGAACATCACATCATCTGGTCAGGTTAACAGTCACTTACTGAGTTACATCTACTTTGGGGCGAGATGGACCAAGTGGTTAGAGCACGAATTTACTGACCGGAGGGTCCGTGGTTCGAACCCGACCTCTGCTCTGTCTAGGTTTGTGCGACCAGGCATTAGCACAGCCCTCGTGCTTCCTTCGTGTGGCATGGCAGCTAGGCACCGGAAGGGTGGTACAGCTGAACGATTTTTTCAAAATATTTTTACTTTGGGAAACGATACGTACTGGAACACGGGGAACCTTAAACAGTACCACAGTGGATCGCTTCATTTGATTACGTTACAACCTTCAACTCAGACGTGAAAACAAGCTTGGCATTGCAAAGTTACGTAACTTGATGACCTTGTGTGCAGCATGATAAGGTGTGAATTTGATAAAAGTGAAAACAAGTGGCAAAATTACGTGGCAACCAAGTTGTTCCCCAGTTTGCTTCAGGTGATGTGCTGTTTGTTTTCTTTCCAAAAATTTGGTAAAATTTGCTGCGTGGTAGAAAACCAAACGGTAGTAGACCAATCAGTTAAGTATGAATGTCAATCAAGAAGCGGACAGCGGCGGCCGGGACGCGGGTTCCTCTTGGCCCATTGGCGTCCGCTGTGTTTCTCCTGTTGGACGGATTTGAGCACGAAGAATGGGATAAAGTTACAGAACCGAACGAAAAACTTATGTAACCTGCCCTTTGGGTTTCGCAGATCGCAACTAAACCCGGGAACCATTTTGTCTCTGTACAAAAGTGCGCAAGAGTTTTCAGCCACCTTATAAGTAGTGTGGTAGGTCGATAAAAAGTGTTCCGATATATTGAATATTGTACCACTTGAAACGTGAGGCGGCCTGATCTAGCACAGCCAGTTGAAGGAGAACCTCATAAACGATAGATTGAACTGGATTTCGAATGAGTCTCCTGTGAAAACTAAAGTTGTAAGCAAATGATCGTGTTTGTTGAAAGGCTAACTAACTGCCATGTGTCCCACAGGTTAAGATAGAGTAAAAATTTCGTGGTAGAACACCAATCGAAATCTGGCAAGGCAGACTTTCAGGCCAGCATGGAAAAGGTCCCTATGGATCAGAAAATAAGCACAAAGTTGACCAGCTTTGCCTGTGTAAGCAGTGTGCACATCTCAAGTAAAGAAATTTCTAACCAGCAGACCAACTGACTGAAAGTTCGGATGAAATCTTTGCATTTTGAGCTTGCTGGCTGCTGGGGTATCACCGTGGATCGGACGGAAGATCTGCTAAGTTCGAAGTGTTGACTAACCACCAGTTTCACTTGGGACATTCACAGGCACCGGTATTAGTGGTGATTTGGCGAGCTCTGAAGTATAAAGTACCCAACGGAGAGGATTTTCTCTGCCTCTGATAGCCGTTTTCCTTCGGACACATACGGATATACTTGTGAAGCACACACGCTTCAGTGCGTGTGTGCAACCATTTAGGTTCCGCCAAGTCGTTGGTGTAATACGACCAGTTCAAATTTCAGAGTGTTACTAAAAGGATGGATTTTGTGATCGTCATTGATCGGTCATTGACTGTTAGCGGATATCCGCCTTCTCTCAAAATTACACCCGTCTTGGTTGCTTGCACACAGCACATCATTGTGCTTAGAATCAAACCACTACCGGTTACTACTTTTGCTCAGATTTTCAATCCATCAGTCGTTTGAGATCGGTAGACCTGCGTCGAATGCCAGAAACCCACTTGTAGCATGTTGGATAGAATAACTCGATGGCGTGCTTGACGCTGTTTACTACATTGGGCTGTGACAATCTTTTAAAAGGTTTCTGACACTCTGAATATCATTAATCGGTGGTGTGCTGCCGCCGTACTGTTATAAGCTATGTATGGAATGCCGTGAATGATGTTTCAAATTTTCCCTAAAGTATTTTCAATTCATTATGAAACCGAGTTTGTGCACAGAAATAATGCGCATGTGTCGTTTTAGCAATTGTTATCCATCAGCGAATTCACCAATCAGCGGCCTCGCTTTTCTGGCGTCGATCACGTGGCCATCGATCGATGCGCCGAGCTTGTCAGTCGGCTTACAGACGTTTTGTCATCAACAGAGTAGTTATCATCAGTGGACGGTTGAGTTGAAAATTCGCTTTTCACTAAAGTAACAGAACACATAACGATCACTAGCCTAAGATGGTGAGAGCAATCGCTCTCAAAATGTGCAACACAATGTGTTGCGCAATTCGAGGTCCTTGGACGATGAAATAAGAACATTGGTATTAATGTTTCGAATGAGTTCCGCGACCCCTCATCCCAGCTGCCAATCTGTTCTTTACCTAGACTACTTACTGAACAGTATTTGTGACTGAATGACGTTGAATCGGTGTCTTTCTTTGACTGATTCGAGATAACATTTCCGTCAAAAATTTGAAGTATGAACGACCTAGTGTTTTATGGATGCATATCTGTGAATGTGTTAGAAAGCCAGGAACTACTGTGAAAAACCATGAGAAGACTTTACAGACGTGTTACACGCCAGAAGCCTTTCGAGTTGAAGTTAGGCTTTTAATTCTGACTGTTGATAACTACGCCAAAATGCGACTCGCGGCTATACGGAATACCGAATAACACCTCTCCCTTAAACTTCATAGCAGCACATCTGGTCGCACTCACTAGACTTTTTTAGTGACGGCTTTGCTGCCGTGATGTTTCTGAGGCCTTCTATTTTGAAGAGACTTCCTGTGGGAGTTCGTAGGATTATTTGTACTGATGATTGTGAGTATGATCTAAATGACTGTCTATTGTGCTTCCGTTTTTGTCCTGTTTGTCTCACAAGCCGAGGATTGAAACTTCAAAGTACTGTCATCTCACAAATTCTTTTCCGCTGTGGTTTAGAAATTAAATAATACCGGTTATCAAACCACGTAGGATCATTAGAAAAAACCGGGGGGTGGGGGGGGGGAATCCCAACCCGACCAAAGGTCACAGCATCCCTCTTACACAACTATCTTAGCACTAGCTTACCAACGCAGACTGACAGGGAGGGACCATCAAATGAACCGAACCAGAAGAACCAGACCCTAGGCTGGACTCAAACACATGCAGGTTTCCCCACCGGCCCAATAGTTGTTCAACCACTCTAACACATTAAAATCCATTGGCCGACACCCAACAGAGATTTAGCTTGACTGAGCTGATTAGTTCTCCTTCCGCCTTAAATCTCAATTAACCTCGGAACCTAGTCACTTGACCTGACGAAGCTTTGTGTCAAAAAGCGAAATGTGCTCAACAATGAAACTACCGATTGTCACCAAACTTTTTTCGAATACCGGACAATATTTTGTCAACTATCTGGTGTCCATTATTCCACCAGTAGAGGAAAGTACGTTCTTGAAGTTAGACAATGGACGGCTTTTGCTTTCCAAATGCTTCAAATCAACCGGAATGGATAAATAGTGATTTAAAATAAAGGAGATATAGAAAACATTACACTCAGACCTTAAAGTAAGCTGAAAACCAGAGGCTAAACAAATAAATTTTAGTGCTTACCATCAGACTATCTGAAACAATTGATAGACACCTGAAAAGATGCCATATAAAATACACGATTCAGAGTAGCTTGTTCTCCTCGGCTTGACGATCGAACGCAGTGCAAAGTAAACAAGAAAGCTGATTGAAATCTGGGAATTTGAATTCCTCATCGTCCAATTAGTTGAACGTTTTAGACATGTCTTTCATTGGTGGTTATCGCTTATGTCAACCCCCTACACGCCCAGCTCCCAGCTCCTCAGTCTAGTTCCTATTTCGTGTGGGAACACGAAAGGGCATAACTTTCCGGTTTACCGTTAGTTTCTACTATAATATTACGTTAGTGAAGGCCCCTGGCAAATTGTTGGAACTGAGAGATGTCGTTCTAACCAGTTATACCACGTGCTGTTTTGACGTGTTCAAGTTGTCTTGATTTTCGGTTGAACCCGGTTTCTATTGGCACTTTTATGCAAAAAGTACTCTTCGATGAAGCTCATATGTTACGCAAATATTGATTAACCTTGGCCTACGCTTCCCGCTGTTGTCTGTTCTATAAACATATCAGAGAAATCCACCATAACTCACCCTGTTTCCGAGAAACACACAAAAATCAGTAAGAATAATTGCTGAAGTGGAAAAATTTACTTGAGAATCACCTCTGGTTCCATCTGGGGTCTGGTCACAAGAGGAAAGTTAAAGGCATCTTCTTCATGAAGTTTCTTGTCAATTCTGAATTGCACAGCACTGTATCCGGTTGTAATAAATGCAAGACATCCACTCAAGGCCGCCAATCCAAAACCCGACGAAGGCCAGTTTTGAAATGGATATGGCATCCAGTCTGGATTGAGTTGATTGATTCCAAATATGATGATCGATGTGGTGATTAAGCATGCGGCGGTGAAATCAACTAAAGCAATCGATAAAGACAAAACTGCCGGCACTTTTGAGTTTGAAAACTCGCCAAATAAATACACAAAGAACAAGATGACACTGAGAGAATAGAGAAACAATGAAATCGACATAAATACTTGAATAATGATGAACCACCAAGGTGTCAAAATATCCCGTATGGTATCCAAATAAGGAGAATAAATCCACCAACATCCATAATAGGACTGCATACTTATGTCGTTTTGTGGTACGAACCCATTCAGGCAAAACTCCCACAGACCAAGACGTGAGAATGGCATGTGAATTCTGGAATAGGATTGAAGCCAGTAGGGTGAAACGAAACCTCCAACCATTGTTATGAATCCGAGAACATTCACAGCGCAGGAAAAACTTGCGTTCCCATTCCTTCTTCTTGTGGGGACGGGGCGCTCTTTAACCATTCTCAATGACTTTTGCGTCCTCGTACACTGGTAAGCTCCGTCAAGCAAGGCTTTGGAAAGATGGGATCGTTAGACGAGTGGATGGGCAAAACAGGCAGTAAAAGAAAACGGTATGCATTAGCACGGATCTTCAGAATTCTCTGCTATGTGGTGATTATTTGTCTGACGTCTGATATCTAGTTGGCCATGGACGCAACCCAAGTGGAGAGGAGTGACTAGGTGACCGTGAGTGGGCCGTCCCTCTACCAACCAATCAGGTTGAAGAATACCACGAACCAATCAGAATTTAGTATGGAAAGAACACACCACCCAGGCAATGCACTTAAGAAATGGCAGTTTCGACAATTCCAAAGTATTTTTAAAGACTTCCTTGTCTACGAAAAACCTTTGGATAAATATTTTGAGGTCGAACATATTAGCGATATGGACTGCCCATGCCGGTGAAAAAATCCTCATGCAACCAAGTATAAGTCGCCACGTGTACGGCACAACTTTCACGAACCAACAGTTCTGTCTGTATTCTATTAGTTATCAGCGAGTTTCTGTGTACAAAAATGGTACAGGTGGCTTGCGAGAGTCCATGCAAGTTGCTTCCAATAGTTATCGACTTTCAAACCGAAGAATGACGATTCCTCTCGTTTTTCGCAGTCGAACAGCAGGAATGAGGCATACAAGACGCAAATTCATGCTAATTAGTGTGACATTTTAGTATTTTGATGATACGATTTTGTGACATATAAAAGGGAGAAAATAAATTTTGCCATTTTCAAGTACGTCAGGTCAGAAATTCACCCAATTTGGACTTTTTTTTAGCCAAAAAATAAGTACTGTCAGCTTTTATGGAAACTTTTGAAGTCGAAACAGTGTTGTTAGGACTTTCAAAAACTTCTAAAATCAAGTTTCATAATATATGATTGTAATATAACACAACTCTAATATAGATACGTAGTTCAACTTCTTCTAATCTGTATAATGAAAGCATCGAGAGTGCGGAATCACTTCCCTGGTAGGTTGCGGTTTCAAGGTAAAGTTGAAATTCAAGTTATTTTTAGTAGTTGCACCCAATTGTGAGGTAAGCTCCTGTTGAACGGGCTGCATACAAGCTTGTCCGAATCTAATAACTCGGGGAAATCGCCTGATGGCATCTCCCGGAAGCTTCCACTTTTTGCAAGAGTCTGTTGAATGTTCCTTTCTTGCACTCGCCAGTCTTCATTCTTTTGGTGATCAGAGCATTGAGATGATTCGATAGATCCTCTGTAAAGGTGAATATAGGTACTTGCCCAAATTTCTCTTCCGGAGATGCATTTGTTCCAAAGTGCTGGAGCATCAGTGGATGTACGGAAGCTGTACTGGGTTCGTGTTATCGGTCACAGGGGTCCGTCTGGCGGTTTAACTACAAATGGCTTTGGGTTGATCTTACTGTGAGGACATCGCTGTTTGAAGATACGAGGATTAACCCAGTTTGCATATTAATTTGACAACCGGATTCAAAGTTAGGTCAGGTTTAGAAGTTTCGGGCCAAACTAGAATCGGATACTGTCAGAAAGATTGAGCGCCATGTGAGGGAAAATACGGAAACTTTTGAGTACAGTGTCGTCACTCAACGTTTCGGTTACCGTGAGCAACATTTTTTGGGAAATGACTGTAGAAGTCCCCGAAACAGGTTGTCCACAGCAGCAGAAATATTGGATGATGGCGACTTATCTCTCTATGCTGTGTTTATCCTTTGAAATTTTCCACTCAAAATGGCGCTCAATCATTTCAACAGTATCAACAATGTCGGCCTTATTCCTTGGTGTGAACTATTTTTTCTGATCAATTGAATAACTTTCAATTCTGACACCTCAAACCTACTGTTTGGGTTTGATGGTCAATACTTGGTCAATATTTTGATTCATACATTCTGTTGGTATGTCAACCCCTCTCCATCTGCACGTTAAAATATCCTTGCTTACTTGTATTTTTTTGAACAGGGGAGACCCAGATAAAGACGGAATATCGGATAGTTAGTAAAGACAAGAAAGTTGGTAATATATAATCTGTTTGTGGAGATTTCGTCCTGTAAGTGAAGCCAATCTATGCTGAAAAGCCGAGAAGCACACTTACAACTTCACTTGCAGGACGAAATCTCCACAAAAATTCCCAATCTCTCCACACTACCAACAATCTATAAGTAGCTCAATGGAAGAATAAACTTCACCCAATGAGTTAAACTTCCTCTGAGAAGTCGTTTCTCGAGGAACCAGTCAACACGTGTGACCGCGTGATGTGGATGCCGTCATTGAAGGACGAGCGGCGCTATATCCTCTCTAAGTGCGAGTTAATCACACTGCTTATCAGCCGCCCGTGGTCGAACAAATGTGTTCAAACTACTTGTCAGGAGGTCGCGGGTTAGAGACTCTCCGGAGTTTCGTGAGATGCGCAATACTGATGATTCCCAATAAGGAGGAAACAGCTGTACAGTGCTTCTCGGCTCTTCAGCATAGATGGGCTTCACTTACAGGACGAAATCTCCACAAAAATCCCCAATCTCTTCACACCACCAACAATATAATCTGTTTCCATACATTGCACCAGCTAACTGGTCCTACGGGCGACTTCACTGTGTACGTCAAATCGTTCAGCTGTAATACCCTTTGGGTGCTTAACTGTCATGCCACCCGAAGGAAGCACAAGGGCTCGGATACTGTCAGGTTGCTCAAACCTAGATAGGGGACATGGGGGTCAGAGGTCGGATTTGAACCACGGACCTTCCGGTCAGTAAATCCGTGCTGTAACCACCGAGCTATCTCGCTTCAGTATGAAAAACAGTCATAGGAAAATAGTACACGCCGAGCTATTTGACTACATGTCTCCAGGTTTAGCGATCGGATCCAAGGTACGGGAACTTTGTTGATTTAATTTTGACACAGGGATAACTACGAAACGTTAGAGATTAATAACTGATTGTTCGTGGAGTGTCAAATGGTCATAACTCCTGGAACACTAGTAATCGAACACCTGGCACCCTGTCAACTCTTCAACGGAGTTCGTCCAACGTCGGAATGGGAACTATTCCAGTCAGACCGTTCCTAAACCGTGTGTACGGACTTCATCCTTGCAATGGCAACCAGCGTGTAAATCACAGGAGCGATCAGCTGTTCTTAAGCGACTGAACTCCCGGCTATATGTATCTCTCAAAACTGGACAGCCCTTCGCTTGTTAGGTATGCCAGTGTAGAACTTTGTCTGACTGTGCTGTGGCTTCGTCGCAATGGGTGTTTTTATAGGGGGAACGAAATCAATTTGCCGTTCAGTTACAATCTGAGATACATGCAACAGACAAAACGCTTGAAGGATGGGCCCAATTCCTTCTCCCTTGCACAATCCTCTCTCTAGATCATGAAAATATGACATTCCCTGATGTGTAACGGTTCGAAAAATGTGCTTTGTCAATGGTCCTCTTCTTGTCCTTTTAGTTTTACTTAGTTCACATGAGAAAACTTTGATGTAATGAATCAGGTGAAATTATGCAACCTGGTTGAGACAGTCTAATCGAATTTTCAGTGGTAATCCTCCGTCCTGGTTGGTCCTACCTGATGAATGTCGGAACAAGGGCTAAACCGGTCGTGGACTTCCGAGGAGTTTTCAGCATCCTTGTGAGTAGTATGTTACCTATATATATTGGTGGACTTTTACAAATGAACAGTTTAGAGATTTCGTTGCCGTTACCAGGAACCATGTTTTACACGAAGCACGGAACTGAAACAATTTTTATGAAATTGGAAGATGACGGAGTAGCAAATGACGGGTACCACTGAATTCATCACAGAAGACTGAGGAAAGTACCACAGAGTTTCATAAGTTTTCTTGCATTTCTAGTGCCTTCTTCGCAATCTAATGCATACACTGTCACGGAGGTGATCAAATCTTTGTTCCTTGACTGATACACGCGATTTTCATGACTCTACATGATGTCTACGTCATACAGCTACCGGAGTACATCGACCGGGTAGTTATAGTGGATTAAGGAAGGACTACTACCGCGTCTAACGTATCCATCGGGCGGCCGATAAGATGTTGTCTGAAAGAAGAAAGCTCTTGGAAGTGATTGACCGCTTCCTTTCGGAACTCTTAAATCTGTATGGTAACCTGACAATACGTGGAAATGCTCGTAGCTTGGGTGCGTCAATCGAATGTAGATCAAATGACGAAACGTATGGAAGCAGGTTGCCAAGCTCAACTAACAGATCAGCAGCCACATGACCAAAAACCAACTGAAAATAACGTATTCGGTTTTTGAAAGTGGTTCCGCTGATTGACTTTCCAACTATCCTTCTAAGGACAACGGGTGAAGACAAGAAAGAAAGCGTGCAACCCGAGAATATGCACTTTATTAGAGCAATACTCCCCGTTGGGATTTGTTGTCCAAAACACGATTTTAGACTATATTGGACGCTTATTTCGGTCATTCTTCTGCTAAGCAACTTATTCGGTTGGCGTGGGACAATGCTCCACCCAACTTTCCGTGTTTCCCGTTCAAGTGATGTGTGACATCTTGTTGACCCGTGTATCAATCGATGAACCACGGATTCCACACTAACCATCTACTAACTAGCAGTAAGTTAGTAGTCAGCCGATTTGGATCATAAGGGTTTATTGATTCGCGCCCTGTGATAACGATGCTGTTTTTCTGAATACATACGTGACGATAGACGCCAAGTTCTTTAGTTCTTCCCGAATCTTCTATTCCATTTGTGTCGTTACAGGTTGCACTTTGAATATATCACGGGATTCCATCGAAACGTATCAGTCCATATCCTCCCATTCCTTCTAGAGAGAGCCTTAATGAGGAACATTTGTAGAAACTAAATGGCCTGCTATAAATAACCCTGAGTAAGAACGGGGTTTGTTAAACAAGTAAAGTTGAATGCTACAGAATGGTTGATCAATAATCGGTTTGTCAAACTGGTGCGGATCAGGATTTGCTTTCGTCACATAAACTGTATGACGGTTTTGAAA